CACACATGGAGCTGTCATCTCCTATTATAACAATGCCTTCTCTGCAATATCTCTTGAAGGACCTGCCTGAGGCTGCTTTAGTTAACTTTTTAGAAATAAGTAGTAGTACACTCTAAAATAATGACTAAAGTATAGAATAGTAAATATGTAAACCAGTAACATAGTCATTTAGTATCATTATTATTTTGTACTGTACATAATTTTATGTGCTATCTTTTATACAGTTGGCAGTGCAATAGGTTTGTTTACACTAGCATCACCACAAACACATAAATAATACATTGCTCTATGGTTTTACAATGGCTACATCATTAGGTGTTAAAAATTTTTCGGCTCCATTATAATCTTACGAGACTACCCTCATATATTCAGTTCCTCCTTGACCAAAATGTCGTTATGTGGCGCATGACTGTAATAAAAATTAGAGTAGAAATCAGTAGAATTACAAACATAAAATCAATAAAATCAATGGAACAAAAAGTTGGTTTTTTGAAAGCATAACCATTTTGAAACTGATAAGCCTCTAGCCAGACTATGAGAGAAGATGCAAATTACTAATATTGAAAATGAAACCCCAAAGGAAGCTGTAAAACCTAGAAATATTATTCTAACCTTCTCCCACCTTTCTGTGTAGCACCTAGCCAGAAAGAAATAACTTGACCTACCTTGTTTGGTAATAGGTCACAAGACCTATTTTCCAGAGGAGTTCTGCCTGTATCTCGGAGAAAAGAATGCTACACAGAGAGGCCAACAAGAAGCCCAACAAACAAACCTAGCTGGGTTTCCCCCTTTAGTATATTACCATTTGATCATACACCTTTTGTCCAATCACATTTCTACACAGCTGTCCATTCTTCATTGAATCTAAACATAAAAATCAGTTTTCCCTGGTTCTTTGGGTATTTATTTCTGAAGGCTCAGAGGTCACATAAAACTTTGATTAAACAATTGGTTATGCTTTTTAAAAAAAATTAGAGGGGACATCATTACAGATCCTATGGACATTAAGAGGAAAGTAAAGGAGTATTATGAACAACTCTATGCCCACAAATTTGATAACCTAGATTAAATCGTCCATTACAGAGAAGAAATGGACAATCTGAACAGGCCTATAGCTATTAAATAAATAAATTGAATCAATAACTAATCACCTTTCAAAGAAAGCACCAAGCCCAGAGGGTTCACTAGTGGATTCTGCCAAACATTTAAGGCAGAAATTATGCCAATTCTCTACAATCTTTTCCAGAAGTTAGCAGAAGAAATACTTTCTAAACCATTCTATGAGGCTAGTATTACCCTGACACCAAAACCAAAGACATTACAAAAAAAACTACAGACCGGGCCAGGCACAGTGGCTCACACCTGTAATCCCAGCACTTTGGGAGGCTGAGGCAGGCAAGTCACGAGATCGAGACCATCGTGGCTAACACGGTGAAACCCTGTCTCCACTAAAAATACAAAACCTAGCCTGGCGTGATGGCAGGCGCCAGTAGTCCCAGCTACTTGGGAGGCTGAGGCAGAGAAATGGCATGAACCCGGGAGCTGGAGCTTGGAGTGAGTTGAGATCGTGCCACTGCACTCCAGCCTAGGTGACAGAGGAGACTATCTCAAAAAAAAAAAAAAACAAAAAAACGAACTACAGACCAATGAATCTCACGAACATAGATGCAAATATCTTCAACAAAATATTAGCAAATAAAATTCAACAATGTACACAAAGATGTGTACACCAAAACCAAGTGGTATTTATCCCAGGTGTGCAAGGCTAGTCTTCAAAATTAATATGGTCCATCACATCAAGAGGCTATGGAAGAAAAGTGACATAATTATATTGATAGATGCAGAAAAAGCATTTGACAAAATCCAACACCCATTCATGATAAAAACTCCTAACAAATCAGGAATAGAGGGGAACTTCTTCAACTCAATAGAGAACATCTAAAAACAAAAACAAAAAAACTACAGCTAAAATCATGATTAAGGGTGAGAAATTTGAGGCTTTCTTGCTAAGATCAGAAACAAGGCAAGCTGTCTCTTTTCACCACTGCTTTTCGGCATTGTACTGGGAATCCTAGCTCATACAATAAAACAAGAAAAGAAAATATAGATTGCAAAGGAACAACTGAAACTGTATTTGTCTGCAGATAACATGATTGTCTATATAGAAAATCTGAAAGAATCAACAAAAAAAACCTGGAACTAATAAGGAGTTATAGTGACAAACCTGCACATTCTGCACATGTATTCCAGAACTTAAAGTATAATTTTTTTTTAAAAAAAGCAATTATAGCAGGATTGCAGGATACAAGGTTAATGTACAAAAGTTAATCACTTTCCTGTGGACCAGCAATTAAATAGTGAAATTTTAAATTAAAAACACATTACCGGTTGGGTGCAGTGGCTCATGCCTATAATCCCAAGACTTTAGGAGGCCAAGGTGGGAGGATCACTTAAACCCAGGAAGTCAAGGCTGCACAGAGAGCCATGATCGCACCACTGCACTCTAGCCTGGGCGACAGAGTGAGACCCTATCTCAAAAAAACAAAAAAGCCAAAAACACCACGTTACCGTTTATATTAGCACCCCAAGAAAAAATGAAATTCTTAGGTGTAAATCTAACAAATTATGTCCAAGATCTATATATCTAGATGAAGAAAACTGTAAAACGCTGATGAAATATATCAAAGAAGAACTAAATAAATGGAGAAATAGTCTATGTTCATGGATTGTGAAATGTCCGTTTTTCCCAACTTGATCTATAGATTGACACATCCCAATAAAAATCCCAGCAAGTTACTTTTACGGATATTAACCCGTTTACGCCTCGTGTTCCATTGTTGGAATGCTAAGCTTGTGGCAGTTATTTATATCCTACTGCTCCAGGTCATTGCCAAGGTCTGAGTTTTCACACAAAAAAATTTGCAACCTCTGGCATAAACGGGTTAACAAACAAAGTCTGTAGTTTATGTGGAGAGGTAATAGACCCAGAATAACCAACTAAATATTGAAGAAGAAAAACAAAGTCAAAGGGCTGAACCTGTTGGACTTGAAGACGTCTATAAAGCTACAGCAATCAAGATAGTGTGTTATTGGTGAAAGAGCTGAGAAATATCAAGGGATCAGAGTAGAGAGCCCAGAAATAGACCCACATAAATACAATTGATTGATCTTTGACTAAGGAGAAAAGGCAATATAATGAAGCAAAGATAGTCTCTTTTACATAACTGCTGGAACAATTGGACATCCACATACAAAAACCATTACCTAGACACAGACCTTACACCCTTCACAAAAATTAACTCGCAAGGGACCATAGACCTAAATGTAAAACCCAAAACTGTAAGACGGCTAGAAGTTATCATAGGAGAAAACCTAAATGACCTTGGGTATGGCAATGGCTTCTTAGACTAAAGGCAAGATGCATGAAAGAAACAGTTGATAAGCTGGGATTCATTACAAGTTAAAACTTCTGGTCTGTAAAAGACAATGTCTAGAGAATAAGATGGGTCACAGACTTGGGAAAATATATGCAATCCAGAACACAAACCAACAAATGCTAGCCAAGGATGTGGAGCAACAGGAACACTCATTCATTGCTGGCGGGAATGCAAAATGGTACAGCCATTTTGCTGTAGTTCTTACAAAACTAAACATACTCTTCCCATACAATCCAGCAGTCATGCTCTTTGGTATTTACCCAAATGAACCAGAAACTAACGTTCACACAAAAACCTGTAAATGGATGTGTATAGCAGCTTTATTCATAGTTGCCAAAACTCGGAAGCAACCAAGATGTACTTCAGTAGGTGAATAGATAAACTGTGATATTTCCAGACAATGGAATAGTATTCAGTGCTAAAAAGAAACGAGCTCTCAAGCCATAAGAAGACATGGGGGGGTGGGGCTTTAATTGCATATTACTAATTTGTAGAAGCCAATCTGAAAAGGCTACATACTATGATGCCAACTATGTGAATTCTGGGAAAGGCAAACTACGGAGACAGCAAAAGGATCAACTGTTGCAATCTTTAGGGAGGAGGAAGGTATAAATAAGTAGAGCACAGAGGACTTTGGGGCAGTGAAACTATTCTGTATGGTACAATAATGGTGGACACGTGTCATTGTGCATTTGTCAAAGCCCATAGAATGTACAACACCAAGGTTACCATAACCACTCAAGGTTATGGTAACCTTGAGGTAAATTATGGACTTTGGGTGATAATGAGGTATCAGTGGAGTTTCATCAGTTATCACAAATGGACCGCGCTGGTGCAGAATGCTAATAGTGGGAGAAGTTGTGTGCGTGGAAGGGTCGGGGGTATAGGGAACTCTCTGTACTGTCTGCTCAGCTTTGATGTGAACCTAAAAAATAGTTTATCAACTTTTTTAAAGCAGGGTACTCAGTAATGCATATGATATAAATCCCATTTATGTTTAAAAAACAGAAATATGTATGTATTTATATATGTGTGTGTATATATATATTTGTATATACAGGGTGTGTGAGTGTGTGCATGCGTGTGTGTGTAACTTTTATATTTACCAAACTGATAACGTTGCTGTTGGTGTTGAGGTTGTGAGCAGGGTGGTGGGAGGAAGGTACCCTCTGCTGTGCTCTGTAGTCTGTACCATTTAGCCTTTGTCAGAGTTCCTATTCACTTATCAAAATATGGCAAAAGGGAGCTTGCTGCTAGGTATGTATCTCCAGACACTCCTTTCAAGGAGACATCAGAAGGTAACATTGTTTGGCAGCTTAAAAATGCAAAGTTGTAGCACTTTCTGTCGCATTTATTCATGCAACAATTATTTTTGAGTGCCTCTTCTATTCCAGGCATTCTGCCAGGCCTTGGAGTTGCCAGGGTGACCAAGAAACAGCCCCTGTGATCACAGTTGAGGGTGCGGTGGGCGGCAGGGGAGAGCTGTGTTTTAAGTCTGTTTTCTCACAGGCTGAAAAAGTTCCGCACAGTTTGGAAAAGCTGACTGTGATTCCTTCTCCTCAGAGAAGCCGTGTGGAGACCCGCCTTCGTTCCCACACACCATCCTGCAGGGCCGCACCGGCTTGGAGATGGGGGATGAACTGCTGTACGTGTGCGCCCCAGGCCACATCACGGGCCACCGGGAGACCGCCTTCACCTTGCTATGTAACAGCTGTGGGGAGTGGTACGGCCTGGTGCAGGCCTGCGGGAAAGGTAAGCAGCCCAGGGATGGGCCACCTTCGCGTACCCACACAGTGCTGGCAGAGGGCTCCGCGGCTGCTGGCTGCATGCCGTGGGCTCTTCTCCACCAAGGTGCCTTTGAAAAGAGGCTTTCAGACCTTTCTGCTGAGCTCTGGACCTAGCAACATCTCCACTTGGGGATTCCTGTAGCATTTCAAATGTGCAACTGAGCTCTTCATCTTCCGTGCTGGGAGTAAAGGGTTAACAAGTTAAAATCCCCGCTTCTTCTCTAAGTACACAGTTGACCTTGAGGTAACTTTGTAGTTTATTTCCCTGGAAACCTGGTCAAGATGGAACATCAGCTGTGGTACAAAGCAGCCTTTTTCTGGGGAAAATGACCCCCAGTTGGTAAACTGGGCTGGGAAGACTATAATGAACACATGTTAGGAAGCCCAGCTCTGTGCTGCTCTGAGGGTGGTGAATGTTGTATCTGAGCATGGCCTGTGTGGGGACCGTGAGAACTATTCTGTGGGTTGTTGCAAGACATTTGAACTCTTATGGGGCATGGGACTTCCAAGCATCATCGATCCACACCACACATATGAGTTCTGATCCACCTGAGCAATCTTGGGAGGAAGGCCGGGGTGGTGAGGGGTGGAGCAAGGGGACGAACTCCAGGACAGCTGTATGCAACTGCTGCAGGGGCTCTTCCCACGGATGAAACTTGCTTGCTGTTTCCCAGCGGCCTTGCTCTGCTCCCTGGCCTGGAGCCTTCTGAATGCCAGGTGTGACCTGTGGAGTCTGAATAGTTAGTTGAAACTAAAAAGAGTCCTAGTGGACAGAGTCCCCCAAACCGGATCTGATTTCCGCAGATGTCCCCATTCCATCAACATCACATTTCTAGGAGTCCTAGTTTACTGCAGCCTCCTTAACCCCTGCTGCCCAGCCCCTGGGGAATTTTTCCAGCAGCAGCAATCACTGTGTCCAGCCACACCCAGTCCTGGCCTCCCCACCCCCACAGGGACACAGCAGCCAGCAGGCGGCTGGGACAGCCCCATGGCTGACCTGGCTTGTGACTCCTATACCTTGGACCTCATGCCAGACCCTAAATTGTTCCCTGATCTCACAGTGCTCCTCTCACTCCAAGACTTTTTCAAGAACCCCCGCCCTGGCCTCCCATGACATCCAGGTAACAAGCGGAGGCTGGTCCTGCGGAGGGAAATAACTCCAGCACCATGATGTTACTGAACTGATAGGACAGTTTGTCCCTGGAATGTCCTGCAGATCCCATGAGGGAACTCAGATGAGACCTAGGGCGCTGTCACGACTGTGAGAGTCATTCACGTTGTTGCCTGAAACTGTGGTTTCACTGCTGCTATAGTCTTCACTGGTATTTACTATCCACAATGTGAATACACCACTATTTATTTATTCAGTCAGCTGTTGGTGGACATTTTGCAGCTGTCACAAACTATGTTGCTATAATTGTCCTCAGCCTCCTTTGGTTCCCATGTGAACACATTTCAGTTGGTTCCTAGCGGTAGAATTGATGCCCATGGAGTATGTGTGTGTTCAGCTGCAGCTGATGCTGCCAAAGTGTTCTCTAAAGTATTTGACCAGTCTGCTTTCCCATCAGCTGTGTCTGAGAGTCCTTGTCATTTAGCACCTCATCAGCTTTAGGACTGCCAGTCTGGTGATGGCTCTGTGGTGACTTGTAGTTGTAATATTCATTTCTCTAATAATAGTGAGGTCAAGCATTTATCACATGTTAATAGGGCATTAGAATTTATTTGTGTAAAATGTCCAGGTACTTTTCCCATTTTTCTAATTGATTTGAATTTGATGATTTACATATTATAGAATTTTTTACATGAAATATTCATAATTAATGTGTTGCAAGTATTTTCTCTCATTCTGTGGCTTATCTTTTCACACTTGCACTGTCTTTTAATGAGTTGGTTTTGTTGTTTTCTATTTCACTACTTTTCAAATTCTTTGAGGACTCTTTTTTTTTTTTTTTTTTTGAGACGGAGTCTCGCTCTGTCGCCCAGGCTGGAGTGCAGTGACCCGATCTCGGCTCACTGCAAGCTCCGCCTCCCAGGTTCACGCCATTCTGCCTCAGCCTCCCGAGTAGCTGGGACTACAGGCACCCACCACCTCACCCGGCTAGTTTTTTGTATTTTTAGTAGAGACAGGGTTTCACCATGTTAGCCAGGATGGTCTCGATCTCCTGACCTCGTGATCTACCTGCCTCGGCCTCCCAAAGTGCTGGGATTACAGGTGTGAGCCACGGCGCCTGGCCTCTTTGTGGACTCTTACCCATTTTTTCTAGTCATTCGCTGATTAATACTTTAGTAAAATACAATAAAAATTAATTAATATAAAAAAATAGATTCCAAATATAAACGCAATTTTTGTTGAATTAAATAGACATACCATTCCCCTGTCAAATTGTTGCAAAAGTGTTTAAAAACTTTCTGGGTGTTTCTACTTGCCTTGTTGCATACCTAATAACAAGTTACAGACTGGGACAAGTGCTGAAAGCACAATTTGAGCAATCTTCTAGAACTTTCCTCATCTTTCTTCTGTTGCTGTTGCTGTTGCTTTGTGCCAGGCGGGAGCTACTTGCCAATTCTGATCATTCACCTGCCCAAGAAAATCAAGCATAAGCACCAAGCTTCCTGTTTGTCCAACATGTCGCCTTGAAGCAGGCCCATACCCACCCTGAGTTGTTAATGTTCCGATGAGGTGCTGCAGTTGCACCATCTCATGAGCCACACCCACAGCCAAATGGGTTGTTTGCTAGCTCTAGTCGAATGAGCACTAAATGCGGGTTTTGTGGGTCCAAAATGATTATTCCCACTGCAATGCAGTTGTTAAAGCTTTAAGCTGCTGGGCAGGAATTCTGGTTTATACGCTTGGGCTGGATATACAGATTGTTACAGTGTCTGTGGATTTAACATTTAAGCTATCTGTGTCATTGTAAGAAGAATGTGTGTGTGTGTGTGTGTGTGTGTGTGTGTTTCAAGAGTATCTTCACCAGATGAATTGCTTCAGATTGGAGAAAAGTCAACTTGGGGGAGTGGGTCAAACAAGGATTTTGGAATTGGACCCATCTGGGTTTGGATAATCACTCTTTGTTGTACTGGCTGATTGGACATTGATCCATTCATTCATTCCACATCCCAGCATTTGGCAGGATCCGAGGTGCTGTCTATACAAGTTGAGTAAATACTGTCTCAACCCTAAAGGAAACGCTAGTAAACTGGGTTCCTCAAAGACACAGAAAAGCAGTAGATGATGAGATAGAGATTGGAAAGTGAGGTGTCACAGAAGGTGACATTTTAGAGGAAATGTGTTTCCAGATAGAGGAAGTGCTCAGTAAATCCAGAGGCTATAGAAAACAAGTAAATGAAAGCTCACATGTATGCATTGACTTCACTGTGTGAAGGAGGTTCTGGCAACCTTGTGTTTTCAGTGTATATGTCGGGGGTGGGGGATGTACCTTAGCCACACTGCAGTGCATACAGGAATGAGATGCAGGGAGGAACAAGGCCAAGGACAGACAACTCAGGTTCAAATTTCTGCTGCTCATGAAGAGGAATAGGGAAGACACAAAGGATAGAGCTGGAAGAAGATCAGAGGTCCAAAGAGGTTGTGGGGGTTTGTTTTGTTTGCTTGCTTGCTGTTGTTATTTTTAAGGTGATTTTTTTTAAGATCTTTAAAAAAAAATTTCCTACAACCAGTGATGTGAGCTTATTTAAACAATGACAGAAAGGATGCGAAGAAGAGAAAACCATCTTCTTTACCTGCCCAGGGTTGCTGTAGCCTGAGGGAGCTCTGGAGGCAGAACCTTAGACACACATACAGACACAGTCACGTGCAAATCCATGCATACACACATTACCCTGATATCTGCATCATGCTATGTGCTGCCTCCAGGGGCTCTGAGATGGGGAGGAGAGCGAGGCCTCAGGGCAGCACACCTGCCCACTTGCAAACTAGCTGTCCCCTCAGTCAGTTCCTTTGCTCTTTTCTCATTTCTGCAGGTATCCATGTTGGCCAGGCTGGTCTTGAACTCCTGAGCTTAGGCAGTCCATCCGCCTCAGCCTCCCAAAGTGCTGGGATTACAGATGTGAGCCACTGCCCATAGTACCCATGATTTAAAAATAGGTGCTAGTTATCACAGAGCTACTTTAGAGGTGAGGTTCTTGTGAATACATCATTTAGAACAGGACCTACAATATAGTATGGGGGTCAGTAAATGTTCATTCTCTTTCACCTGTATGCTGATCAATGAGACCATTCAGACCCTTTCACCTAAGGTATCCGAAGGGATTTGTGCATGGCACCATGACACTGGCTGCTCGCTTCCTTGTGTATTAACTCTAGCCCCTGTTACCATGAATAACTAACGGCAGCCTGTGACTTCAACCGTCTGTTACTTGGGTGAGAAGTTAATCTCTGCCAGCAGGCTTCTCAGATTCTGGAGACCGGCAGCTGGCCTTTTTTTTTTTTTTTTTTTTTTTGAGACGGAGCCTCACTCTGTCGCCCAGGCTGGAGTGCAGTGGCGCAATCTTGGCTCACTGCAACCTCCGCCTCCTGGGTTCACGCCATTCTCCTGCCTCAGCCTCCCGAGTAGCTGGGACTACAGGCGCCCGCCACCATGCCCGGCTAATTTTTTGTATTATTTAGTAGAGACAGGGTTTCACTGTGTTAGCCAGGATGGTCTCAATCTCCTGACCTCGTAATCTGCCTGCCTCAGCCTCCCAAAGTGCTGGGATTACAGGCGTGAGCCACCACGCCCGGCCTCAGCTGGTCTTTCCAGAAAGGCATGGCCAGTGTGACTTTCGGACTTGATAGAGACCCACGCAGCTGGTAGCTTCCTAGTGTGTGGCGTGCATACCTGATGGGTAGCAAAAGGTGAGGGAGTGGATGGTGTAGGAGGGTCCCTCAGCCACACGCCGCCCAGGCTGTGTGTTCACAAGCAACATTCCAGGCTTAAGTGGCGGGGATGCAGTCTGTCACTTAAG